AAATTATTTGAATCAATATCATCTTTCTATCAAATTATTAAAGCATTTTTACTTTTCTTCGACACATCATGTACATTCGAAAAAAACTAAAATTACATATGACATTTTCATAGATTTTTTCCGCATCTGTTCAGCTTCCCTATTAAATGATCGCATGTTAGGTTGAATTTTTTTTTCAGTGGCGGGCTCTAGCCGTTTATAGGCACTGGCTTCGACTAAGGCAGAAAGCGGTGGTCTCTTTATTATGGAGGCACCTAACAGGTGGGCAACTGTTGCTTCCTATGAGGGCACGGACTCTCTTGGTATTCGACCGTGGTTCTTTGGTGAGGCAGTTAAAGTCACTAACCCCTTTCTCGTCTGGGCGCTACATTGAGTATCTTACATAAAAAAATTCCTTTGGATTTTCTGTACATGTTCGTTTGCGATTTTCTTTATGTAGTTTATCTGCCTGTAAGTTCTTTAATTTCTGATTCGATTTCCTTGAAATTAGGTTTTCATTAATAAAAAATTTTAGACTTTTCAATAATTACACATCTTTAACCATTCTGTAGCAACAGATTAAAGCTTTACTGGTTGCATTGATGGTTTGCAAAATTTTACTATTTTAAATAAGACTATCACTACAGAGCGTCATAATCATGTTTGAGAAGAGATTTTCTTCAATACTAACAAGTTCAGAACAACAACCGAAAAGTTCAGAACTTTGATAAAGAAAAGTCCAAACGTTTTGGGGTTTCTTTTGCGGTAGTATCGAGAGCATTTCTACTACCTTTCCTGGCATTTTTTAAATCATTAATAAAGTAAAGAGAAGTTCGGAGAATTTTCAATTTTGAAGCACTGTTCTTAAGCATCAAGTAGAAAGAATGAGGTTAGAAGTCAATAGCTAAAATGTCCGTATTATTTAACTTTTTGTGTGCTATATTTTCTTATATCGTATTTTATTGATTGCTGTGTCGCTCTAGTTATTCATGCTGCCTTTCAGTTTTTATAACTTGTCACTCTGCTCAATTTCTACTCACCAAATCGACAACTCTACTTCTTGCTGTTAGTGGTGATATTTTTTTAGAGATGTTATTCCCGAAAAACAAATTTTGTGCTCTTTACGAGTTCTCAGTTCTTCTTGCAGCAGCTTTTAATCAGCATTAAAAATTTCTTTCAGACATGTGAACAATTATCCAGTTTCTTGATGGATGTAGATCTTGATGACTCTGCACTCCAGTCATGCACCAATAATGAATTAAATATGATGGTTTAACACCATATTTTCCGTCTCTCATCACCACGTCGCAGAAGTCAATCAAAATGATGTCGTTCGGTGGTTGAAGAATCGCATACGCAATGCATACGGATAGCACTAATGAGACGGGACTATAAGTCTTCAGTTTTGGGATAGATATTTTTTAATTTACTCAAATAATGCTTGTATGCAAATCCTCAGCAGCGGAAGATGTCGAAAAAATTGTACTGTTCCTTCAAAAAATGGTAAGTATGCTCAGTCTAAGTTAAAAAGATTACTCGAAGATATAATGAAAAGCTGTTTTTTTTACTTCCTGCTTTGTACCAACACCGACTCCACTTCCGCAGTGGCTATTTGGTGCGAATAGCTAAGAGGTTATTCACACCACTACGTTCGCGCATGCGCACAATCAGCTCAGGTACCAGCATTTTACTACGGAGTAGTGAGAGCGAAGGCGTTAACTCTAATCAGCAATAGAAGGGTTGTGGTGAGTTATCTTTATTAATAGTTCACCAAAGAGAATATTTGCAAGTAATAATTATCGGTTAAAAAACGAGGTCAATCTATATGCATGATCTGTTCAAAGGTTGATAAATAGGGATTAATGATGGTTCTAATTACAAGCGAGGACGTTCTTAGTTAAAAAATCTTTATGTATTGACAAAGGCTCAGAAATTATAAATTCTTTTATTTAATTTCTATTAATAGAAACTTACTGTAATTCTAATTTTTTATATATTTAAACTTTTTCATTACCACACTGTTTATTTTTAAAATGCCATTTCAAATCAAGTTATTATGAATAAAATCTATAAATCATTTGTGTGTGCAAACTTTTAAATCCGAATCTCTTACATTAAATTATTTCTGCCTTTTAAATTACATCCCATTCTTTATTTCAATTTAATTTATTAATGTGTTTGTACTAATATTTTAAAATTCTTTGAAGTACTTTTTGTGACCTGAAAATGTCAAGTATTTCCATAAAAAAAATAACAGGCATGCAGAATTGTTAATAAACAGTATTATATGATTAATTGTTGATTTAATCGCTTTTAACTTAATTCATGTCTAAATTTTCTACACAAAAACCCTCTGTCTAATTTTGATTATCTTTATTTCTAATTTTTATTCTCGAACAAAAATTTTCAAAGAGGAATGAATTAAAGTCTTGATGTGCAAAAAATCGTTGAGGCTAAAGAGCATTCTAAGATACAAAAATGTAAAAGATTCCCCCCTCTCAAGACAGTCATTAACTATTCCAACGCTTCAGGAAAACGGTGAAAATTGCGAACATAAAACCTGCCCTTTTATAGATCTTTATATATATAATGGCTAAAGTGTGTGTCGCCGATAGTTTATTGTTGCCACTCGGAAACATGAGCGGAAATTAACGTTTCACGCAGTTTTAATTAAACCGTCACCGATTAGTCCGTATGAAGATGAAATGGTATCATGAGTCGAGGATTTTGGAATCGAGGATACGCGTCCTAGCTTTCAACTCGGCGCCGTCCGTGATCCGTACGATTTGGAGCAAAAATCCCTTCAAATCTCTTCTAATAGGGAAAAAGAAAGAAAAAAGTATGAAAATAGTCAATAATAAATTATTATATTAATATACTAGGCTATTAAATCCCAAAAAGAAGCGAATGGTGAAGAGAACGAAAAAATTCCGTGCACGACCATGCGAATCCAAACGGTTGTGCGTGCTAAGCCCGGGAGCCAGCCGTTTTCGGAGGAGATTATGTTACTTCACTCTGATATATATAGGCGGTTAAGTGTCTGTTTTCGCCGATAGTTAATGGGTTGCTTGCGTAACGTAACTACCAATGGGGGTCAGTTAAGTGGCCACGGCAAGGGTTGCCGTTACATTTGAGACGTAGAGAATTTCCTGTAAAAACTTGCCTTTGCTATGACCATCCATACGTCTCAGGACAAACGCTTAAGCGTGTTGTTTGGCATATATTTTTCCTGAGCCTGCTATTTTAGACATGGTTAACTTATGGCCTGTCAAGGTTCGTGAAAAGAACGACGTATATTAAAATATGGATGGTCTTCTGCAGGAGAGCTTAAAAATGATGGAAAATCGAACAGAAATGCTGTGTACCAAAGATCTTGAATGTGAATTAATCATTTCGTTATGAAATCACCTTTATTATTGAAATAATTAATATTGGTGGCTTTAAGAAATTACCGCAGTGGTTTTCCTTCAGGTACTCTACTTGAAGCAATTAAGGAAGTAAAGGGGAAACCCGGAGCAGTGTAGCAATTGGTGCGTCCTCGCCGCCTGCCGTTGTAAGTCAGTTTAAAAATTAGCCGATCAATTTGCACAATCCTTTAATTGCAATTTTAAATCTAGAACAGAGTGGTCATTGCTTATGACCGCCGGGATTTCTAGTACTATTTTCTAAGGAAAGTGTTCTTTCTTTTTATATATATAAGAAAAGTAACCCATTTTTCTCTCTAATCTTTTGAAAGTCGCCAACGCTTACAAAATGATAAACTACGCCAAGGTAGTAAGTAACCTGCCTATTTTAAAAAAAAGATTCACTATTACACTTAGGCAGTTCGCGTAAGTAGAATCCGTTCTTTTAGATTGGGTTCAAATTAATGATCCGACAACTCAATACGCATGCGTGGTTAATGTTGGTGCGAATAACTCAAGCGGCTAATCGCACCGCTGGTGCGAATAGCATCGGCCCTCTACTTCAAGCCTAAGCGCCCGGTCCGAAAATTCCTGTGACGTCACGACTACTGGTCATAACAAACTTCGGAACGCATGAAGTGGCTCTTTGCTGAAGCTTCTTACGTTGTGCGAACGCTGAACCGAATCCTTATTTTTTTATGGTTTTAAGGTGGATGTTTTTAGAGAGGTAAGAATGCATTACTTGACTTCTGAATTTATATTTTTTCTAATTATAATGTTTTTAGGCTATGTTCTGTACAATGTGTTAGTTCTGTAGAGACAGGCTAATGAAAGGGACAGTTTCCTCTTATATATACTGGATGTGACACTAAGCAGTTGGATATGTATTTAAGAGTTACGGATATTGTAACTAGTATTTCAATCATGATAAATCCAACGCTGTCGTGGGACCTATATAGGAGTCCTAAGGATTATGGGATGTGACGTTAGCCTAGGAGGATGAGTTTAGGAGGAACTGGGTTTACGGGATGTCCGATGAGTATTAATTAGGACTTTAAATCTAATACATCCAGACGCTGTCGATGGGACTCGATAGGATGTTTAGATATACTGGGATCTGTTTAGAGGTTAGTGGGATATATCGGGTTCCTGAGGATGTAGTAAGTAGAAGTTCAGATCCTATAACATCAGACGCTGTCGATAGCACGTAGTTAGGATTTCCGGAGGAGATCCTGGGATGTGAATTAAGCACTCGGGAGAGGTTTTAGGATTCCGGGATATAACTGGATGTCTGGTGTGCGCAGACCCGCGAGCAACATCCTCGGGATATCACAAGGATGTTTTTGTGCTATGGGGGTGTGCTATGTATAATTTCTTTCTTAATAATGTTGCATCAGCCTAGAACAAATGGGCTTTGCATAATTATATGATATAACCTGATCTGTTTCAGAATAAAAGATTTTTTATGATTTTATTTATTTATATTTTTTCCTGTATAAATTTGATGTTATAATACAAGCTAACACAGCTTATTCTTAAATTTTACATGCCATTAACTATACACTATTTGCTCCTTTTTATATATTGATTTAAATATGAAACATTTCAGTTACTGAAATGCCGGATAGATGCTGTGTACCATTATGTAAGGGAAACTACCCAACAGGACCAAAATTGTCTGTATTCTCCTTTCCTAAAAATGAAGATTTGAAGATAGAGTGGCTTTCTGCAATCCAACGGAAAGACTTTTCACCCAAAAAGAGTTCAAAAGTAAGTAAAGTAGAGTTATTAATTAACAGTGTGGATTCTAATTACATAGAAAGGTGTTCATTCTGAAATTTTTAAATGATAATATTTTGTTACACATAAAACCAGGATATACAGAAATAAAGGATTGAAATAGAGCTTTAATCACTGCAAATATTCTCTGGTTCTATCTGTGAAATGAATATTCTTTACTACAAATGCTCAGAATGAACCCTCTGATTTTTAAACTATTACTATTAACATAATGTTTTTTTTTTTTTTTTTTTTTTTTTTTTAATTTTCTCTAAAGGTTTGTGAATTGCATTTCAAGGAAAGTGATTTTAAAGTTGAAGCTTCAGCATTTGATTCTAAGAATGGAATTTTAATTTCTGCTCCACTTCAGGTGCGTAGATTAAAAGAAAATACAGTGCCATCAATATTTAAGGACTATCCATCTGTATACAGTTCAAAAAGTAGCACCATTGTACGAGAAGATCCTGATGCAAAAAAAAAAACTGCCCGCGAGTGCCATAATTTACAGAAAGCATTGCGTGAAAGCCTTAAAGAATATGAAATGTATAATAATGATTTGAAAATTAATTGTTCTAATGATATTTTGTCATGTATTGATCGCTATGGAATAGCAGCAGTTTGCCACACTGTACCAGATACCTCAACTGTTTGCTTTATTCATATTGTTTTTAGTCCTGGGCCATCAACTGATTATTCTATAGTTGTGAATGGCAATCAAGAAATGTCTGTATTTATTAAAAAAAATCTATTACACAATTTTCTCCTTACGTATCCCGGTAGAGTCGGTGTTGTTTCTACTGGCTCCTGTCTACCTGAAGTAACTCATTGATGCTATAAAAATAAGAGCACATATCAATAATTTCTTTTGAGTGTGATAAAAAATAGAATTTTATTACCAAGGTTAAAAAATACAATTTTCTGCCTCAGATTAGATTTCAAATTTAGATTATAATTTTAGGAATTAAATTCATCTTAGTAAAACTCAAAATAGCTCAACTCCAATGTTTGTGACTTGCTCACATGGACACACCGTTAGCGTCGCCGAAACAAGTAGTTAGCTAGTCATGGAAGATTTAGTTTACGAATGCATTCCGTTTGTTTTGGGCTTAGCTTCAATATTCTTTGCATACTTATGGTACATTCGTCAGTCAAAACAGCCTGAAAAGCTGGAAATTGATGCTGAACCATGCAAGGGTTTGTATTTAGTCATGAAATGTTCTAGAGTTACTTTTGTTTTTCTCCTTAAAACGAAACTAGTATCGGATCTCTAGTTAATAATCATAGCTGTATAACTAATATGATCAGAAACTTTAACCTTGTATTGCATTGCTATTGCCAAGGTAGTCAAACGTCTTTTTGTGGTATTTTAATATTCAAAAATTCAAACGGTTTTAAAATATGCCTAAGCTGAGCATTTAATAATGCTTGTAAAAAAATGTCCCAAAAGAGATAACCAAAATTTTGCCGCTGTAATCGCATTAGAAATATATTTATAAAAATCCGTAATTTATTTTGTTTGTTTGCGAAAATATTTTTAAGATTTGTAGTTTTCAAAAGTATTAGGTACCTACAATTCTGTTTAGATTTCTCTAATTTTTCGGGTAAAGTGCAGAATCGCCCACTTATTTGTTTGGCGCTTTTTTACAATAGTAAGAAGAATTGAATTTTTGTCAATTTTCTCTGAGTTTTTAAGTGAAAATAGGTTCATGTCTACATGGATAAAGGGAGTGCGCAATGCCATTTTTGTGCAATTCTGGAATGTTTTTGGTTGATCTTTACATTATGGTAACTTGGCGTTTTTTCGGCGAAAATTTGGCGACCAACTCTTCTACAGCAACCCTCTATTTTTTTTTCCCCGCCGCCATTTTGTCTTCACGAAGTAAAGACATGTTTCTTTTCTTTTTATTTATCTACTGAACACTTCTTCCAACAATCTACTAGCCGAATTACACTTATGCTAGAAATTTTATCTAACAAAACTGCTTAATCATGACAAATATTCACTGCAAAATTGGGAAAAAGTGCACAATACCATACTCCTTACGCGTTTTTCAAAATAACACATACACATAAACCATGTACACGCCGACTTATTTTTACTTAAAAAAACATCCCAGAATTGCACAAAAATGGCATTGCGCACACTCTTCACTATATCCATGTACACTGCTTTTTTTCTCATAAATTAGAAAAATTTCACGAAAATACATGACAATTTTCTCAATCTTTAAACCCGGTAAAAAGAACATATATGAAATTACCTGATCGCGAAAAAGTATTTACCCTTTCCAAATATGAACATTTCCACATATAAAATAAATAAAATATCCAAAAACTTTTACCTCTAAATCATCTATTACATTTAACACGTCACCAACGAATTCATACCGCAAGCATTACAAATACTTAGTATCAATATTTAAATTATTTCCATGCACGTTTACTTCAACTTAAACGTGTACCAAATTCCTACAAACATAAAATTCACAAAATAACTATCATTTATTAAATATCACTAAACCATGTACGTATTTTTACTTAAAAAAACATCCCTTAAAAAAAATCCCGAATGCACAAAATGGCATTGCATGCGCACACTCTTCACTATATCCATGTACACTGCTTTTTTCTCATAAATTAGAAAAATTTCACGAAAATACATGACAATTTTCTCAATCTTTAAAGAACATATATGAAATTACCTGATCGCGAAAAAGTATTTACCCTTTACAAATATGAACATTTCCACATATAAAATAATAAATATCCAAAAACTTTACCTCTAATCATCTATTACATATACACATCACCAACGAATTCATACCGCAAGCATTACAAATACTTAGTATCAATATTTAAATTATTTCCATGCACGTTTTACTTCAACTTAAACGTATACCAAATTCCTACAACATAAAATTCACAAATAACTATCATTTAATTAAATATCACTAAACCATTACATCGACTTATTTTACTAAAAAAAACATCCCAGAATTGCACAAAAATGGCATTGCGCACACTCTTCACTATATCCTGTACCTGCTTTTTTCTCATAAATTAGAAAAATTTCACGAAAATACAACATTTCTGAATCTTTAAACCCGGTAAAAAGAACATATATGAAATTACCTGATCGCAAAAAGTATTTACCCTTTCCCAATATAACATTTCCACATATAAAATAAATAAAATATCCAAAAACTTTTACCTCTAAATCATCTATTACATTATACACGTCACCAACGAATTCATACCGCAAGCATTACAAATACTTAGTCAAATATTTAAATTATTTCCATGCACGTTTACTTCAACTAACGTGTACCAAATTCATCAAACATAAAATTCCATAACTATTTTTTTAAAATTTCACTCAAATTTGGCGCCGCTCTATTTTTGTCTTACGAAGTAAAGAATGTTTCTTTTTTTATCTACTGAACACTTATTCCAACAATCTACTAGCCAATTACACTTATGCCCTGACAATACACTGCTTAATTGCGCTTAGGCAATTTTTACTTATCCCAGAATTGCACAAAAAAATTGCGCAACTGCTGTAAAAAAATAGCTACATAATTTTCTCAATAAAGAACAATATTCTGATCTGCGAAAAAATTTGGACATAAGTGCTATTACACATCACCAACATTGATACCGCAATACAAATACTTAGTCGTTTTTCTACTAACATAATTCACATACTATCATAAAATATCAAAACCATGTACATGTCGATTTTTTTACTTAAAAAAATCCCAATTGCACAAAATGGCATTCGCCACTCTTCACTATCCATGTACATGCTTTTTCTCATTAAATTAAAATTTCACGAAAATAATAAACAATTTCTGAATCTTTAAACCCGGGTAAAAAGAACATATATGAAATTACTGATCCGAAAAAGTATTTCCCTTTCCAATATGAACATTTCCACATATAAAATAAATAAATATCCAAAAACTTTTTACTCTAAATCACTTAACATTATACAACTCACCAACGAATTCATACCGCAAGCATTACAAATACTTAGTATCAAATATTTAATTATTTCCATGCACGTTACTTCAACTTAAACGTGTACCAAATTCCTAAAACATAAAATTCAAAAATAACTATCATTTAATTAAAATATCACTAAACCAAATTTGGCGACCAACTCTCCTACAGCAACCCTCTATTTTTTTTTCCCCGCCGCCATTTTGTCTTCACGAAGTAAAGACATGTTTCTTTTCTTTTTATCTACTGAACACTTATTCCAACAATCTACTAGCCGAATTACACTTATGCTAGAAATTTTATCTAACAAAACTGCTTAATCATGACAAATATTCACTGCAAAATTGGGAAAAAGTGCACAATACCATACTCCTTACGCGTTTTTCAAAATAACACATACACATAAACCATGTACACGCCGACTTATTTTTACTTAAAAAAAACATCCCAGAATTGCACAAAAATGGCATTGCGCACACTCTTCACTATATCCATGTACACTGCTTTTTTCTCATAAATTACAAAAATTTCACGAAATACATGACAATTTTCTCAATCTTTAAACCCGGTAAAAAAGAACATATATGAAATTACCTGATCGCGAAAAAGTATTTACCCTTTCCAAATATGAACATTTCCACATATAAAATAAATAAAATATCCAAAAACTTTTACCTCTAAATCATCTATTACATTATACACGTCACCAACGAATTCATACCGCAAGCATTACAAATACTTAGTTCAAATATTTAAATTATTTCCATGCACGTTTACTTCAACTTAAAACGTATACCAAATTCCTACAAACATAAAATTCACAAAATAACTATCATTTAATTAAATATAATTTAATTCCATCTAAACCAGGTGTTCGGATTATTTTTACTTAAAAAAAATCCAGAATTGCAAAAATGCATTGCCACATCTTCAGAATCCATGTACACTGCTTTTTCTCATAAATTAAAAATTTCACGAAAATGCATAACAATTTTCTGATCTTTTTAAAGAACATATGAAATTACCTGATCGCGAAAAAAGTATTTACCCTTTCCAATATGAACATTTCCACATATAAAATAAAATAAATATCCAAAAACTTTTCCTCTAATCATCATTACATTACACGTCACAACGAATTATACGCAAGCATTACAATACTTAGTATCAAATATTAAATTATTTCCATGCACGTTTACTTCAACTTAAAACGTGTACCAATTCCTACAAACATAAACACAAAATAACTATCATTTATTAAAATACACTAAACCAATTTGGCGACCAACTCTCCACAGCAACCCTCTATTTTTTTTTTCCCCGCCGCCATTTTGTCTTCAACGAAGTAAAGACATGTTTCTTTTCTTTTTATCTACTGAACACTTATTCCAACAATCTACTGCCGAATTACACTTATGCTAGAAATTTTATCTAACAAAACTGCTTAATCATGACAAATATTCACTGCAAAATTGGAAAAAGTGCGCAATACCATACTCCTTACGCGTTTTTCAAATAACCATACAAGAACCATGTACAAAACAACAAACCTTACATAAACGCCGACATTTTTACTTAAAAAAAATCCCAGAATTGCACAAAAATGGCATTGCGCACACTCTTCACTATATCCATGTACACTGCTTTTTTCTCATAAATTAGAAAAATTTCACGAAAATACATGACAATTTTCTCAACCCGGTAAAAGAACATATATGAAATTACCTGATCGCGAAAAAGTATTTACCCTTTCCAAATATGAACATTCCACATATAAATAATAAAATATCCCAAAACTTTTACCTCTAAATCATCTATTACATTATACACGTCACCAAATTTAGCAAGAATTGCACAAAAAGGCATGTTTGCCATTGCACTCTTGCACCTTTCATATATCAATGTCGCTGCTTTCTATAAATTAAAAAATTTCACGAAAAATGCATAACAATTTTCTGAATCTTTAAACACGTAAAAAAGAACATATATGAAATTACCTGATCGCAAAAAAAGTATTTACCTTTCCAATATGAACATTTTCCACATATAAAAAAATAAAATATCCAAAACTTTTACCTCTAAATCATCTATACATATACACGTCACCAACGATTTAATACCGTAAGCATTACAAATACTTAGTATCAAATATTTAAATTATTTCCATGCAAGTTTACTTAACTTAAACGTGT